ACTTATTATTCAATACTTTCCCTACTTTCAGACTGTGGTCCAGACACGGTCACTCCAATTGCTCTCTCATTACACTGTCTGGAAACCAAAAGATGACTAATGATATAGACCTTCTGTAATCAAAGCCTCTCTCTTCAAAGTAATTGGTAGCTACAGGAGTAAATAGCATATTTGCTTTCACATGTGAGAAGCACTCAGCCATAAGTACAAATGCCATGAAATTGTTCCAGTTGTTTTAAACCACTGTTATTTAAAAACAAACACGATGTTTGTGTATTCTATACCACAGCCAAGCTGAGATTCTTCACTGGCAGCAGGATGCAATAACACAACATGTTTTTAAAGGATAAATGTTGGATGAATTAGACAGTTTGCGGTTCTGTTATTATTGTATTACAACGTTGTTTTACAATTTGGGATTGTTTGACTCTCACAAGACTCAATGTGCAAAGCTGTTAACCCAGAAGGCTCTACTCTTAATGCTGGGCTCAAAATAATTCAGTTAATAAACTTAATATAATGGGCTATATATCAACTTCATCATAGCATCAGGACATTGGGTTCATCGTTGAAATTTAATTTACAATTATTCATTTATCTCACGCTTTTATCCAGAACAACTAACAATTGCTATATATGTCAGAGGTCGTACGCCTCTGGAGCAACTAGCTTAAGTGTCTTTCTCAGGGACACATTGGTGGATGTATCGCAGTGGGGTACTGAACCCTGGGGTACTCTCACACCATAAGCATTTGTCTAATCCACTGCTACATCACTACCCCGGTGTTTAATGTTTAATGTTAATGTTTGTACATGTGACTGTACAAAAACGTATTGACAAAGTTCAGATAAAAGGTGGGCACAAAACCAAAAATTATAGAAAAAAAGTTATTGCCATACAATAAGAGCAATAATATTAAGAAGCCGCAGGGAGGGGGGATCAGAATGCATTGCAGACTTCTTTACCCTGGGTTTCATCTCATAGGCTGTATACAAGCTGCCATATCTTTTTATTAAAGGTTGTGGGGCCATATGAAACTTAAAGTGACAACCTGCAGACTCGGGCTGGAAAAAAGTCACTAATAACTTCATTTTCCAGGAAATATTTTTATCAACAGTTGATATTCTTCTTAGAAGAAAATACAGTGCCCTTTGTAGTTAACATGCAAATACAACATTATGTGTCAAAGTATTAGGTATCTATAAAGAACTAACAATCCAGAGGTGTGCATAGCATTTCTTTTTTGTTAAACTAACATTATGGAAAGCACAATGACTATTTAATTATTTGCCATTCATATATATGCAATTTCTAAATGCATCTGTAATTGGTGTTACACATTGATGACTTGCAACATGCATGCAATATATGCAATTTCTTTTTTACCTTGTTTTCACTTTTTTTTATAAAGTTCAGTAACATAAATTGACATATGTTGTGTTTGATGATAGCACAGTATAGTACTATTTTACAGTCAAAAAAAGCTATCCATTCCCCTACGGAAACTTTTAGATTTAGGTCTGAAAGAGTGAAAACTGAGTCAACAATCATATGTCATCGTAGATGGTTAAAAATGAAATGTGAATGCCAAGAAAGCATATGACACTGAAGTGTTTTATCCAATGCGATACATAAGAAAACATTTCCCATGCACCTATCATAATTTACAGTGGACCAACATCTTTACCTAAAAAGTACAGCAAAAAGTCTGGTGAGGAGAAGAAAAGTAAATGCCTCAGAAAAATAGACCTGCCTTGTGTCCATGGCCATGTGTCTCCAAGACATTAGGTCACCATAGATGAAGCTCTGTCAAAATGAGCTCCATTACTCATGCAGCTCGTCCAGTAAATGGAATAGGATGTGTTTTTGTCTGCTGCGTCTCTGTAACCAACGAAGACTGACGTATCCTTTGGAGGTCGGAGGGAAACGTGTTTCAAAGCAGCCGCTATGTCCTCTTTGTTTTGCTGACTTTATATTTTATGGAGGTCGTCTCGTTTCCTTGCCAAACATGTGTTCCTTCTTTGTCTGCAGGGAATAGTTTGCATTGAGGGAGTACACGGGGTTTTGACTACAGCTCAACATACCCATGTGTGAAATCATGTTCAATTTAGAAGATCAATACTTGAGGATCAATCCCTTGCTGGTTTTATATCTGAAAAAGATGTTTGACAAATTATTTGCTCTAGCACTGGGGTTTAGGGAAACATACAAAAAAGCAAAGCAAAAGAAGCTGCTCTCAATTAAGCTTTTAAATTGTAACTTTCTGTCCCATTTTCTCCACAAAACATAAAAATTTAAAAGCACACTTTTCATCCTTTTCTAAGACCCTACCCCACACCCACCCACACACACACACACACACACACACACCCACCCACACACACACACACACACACACACACACACACACACACACACACACACACACACACATCTTTGCCTTTTTACAGCCAGTTTATACATACTTTTCTTTGATTGATTAGATCATGATGTTCTGCTTGTGTTTTAAATCAAATCAGTTTATTGCAGTCTATTGCTATTAACACTGCTTCCCTTTGTCAGAAAGACTGTCCACTTACCTAACTATTTTTCGCTATGTGTTTGTTTCTACATAAGAAATTCGGGTGGGAAAGCAGCACTATGGCACTAGCATTATTTCGATTAATTTTATTAATTTCATTCATTTTCAACTGATGGTCTAATGCTAGCTTGAGATCACGTTCAAAATTATGCAAAACAGTACATCCTGCAAGAAGATGCACAAGACAGATAAGACAGATTGAAATGTATTATAGTATATATTAATATGTTTAATTTACTTTAGTTTGTATTTCGGTTATGACACCGCTATTTTACAAAACATATATCTTCTGGTAATACAAATGCAAAAAATAAAATAAGAGTTAAAGAGGTGGTATTATGCTTTTTGGCTTTTCCCCTCTCCTTTATTGCGTTATATATCTTTTTTGTGCATGTAACAAGTTTGCAAAGTGAAAAAGCAGGCGTCAGGCGTCAGGCACGCCCTCAAACCAAGCTAGTCTGAGCGGAGGCCCTTTGGCTGGACTCGCCTTTGTTTGGTTTTCCATTGTAGAAATGTTGCACCTGTACCTGCTTCCAGGTACTTTTTTTCGTATCACCTCACCTCCCTCGAGGTTCCAAGCGCGCTGAGGGATACTAAAATGTAACGTAAAAACACGACAGACTGCTGATTTGTCAGAGAAAATATTCAGTATTCACTGCATCGTCATTGCGTGCGCCAGACAGAGGCCAGCAACAGAAAGTTTTATATTTTACAGTTTTCGTATGAAATTTCATCATTAAATCCACTTCTGAGAAGTTTTGAGGTGAGAAATCAGCTGTGTAGATTTCGAATATTGACAGTTTTACGAGAAGTGATGGCGGAACAAGAATGTGCTTGAATGTTTTCGGAGTTGAGGAGTTCCGCAAGTGGCTGCGGGGGAAGCCTGTGCCAACCCGCGGGAGGAGCATGTGAGGCCGGCCAGCCGCCCGCTCACAGAGCCCTCTGCTCCCGCCGTCACACAGACCGCTGTAGCAACAACGGCAGAGGAAAACACAGCTGGAAGGTTTTCATACCGCTTATCTGTCTTTACATTCTGAGTAATATTGAAACGTTTTAACCGTAGATATATTTTAAGAGCTGGTGTGTGTGTGTCGCATTGAACATTACGTCGCGGCAATTGTGTGTGGCGTCCCTATGAGGACAAGCTACGTACTATCTCTGGGTACTATCTGCAATAGAAAACGGAGCAGGGCCGAGTAGAGTCGAGTCTATCCATTTGCGCTATGGTAGCATTTTTCGGCAAGGCAGCATAGATCGTCAGAACACCGGCAACAGTTCAACGTTTAGTCCTGATGGTAAGATGTGGAACAATGATGTTGTGGACTTGTGAGTAACTTATACCATCTGCTAGGTTACGGTCATTAATGTACGAATTATCACTCCATCCTGTAATGTTAACATACTAACATCACTGCAGATCCATCTCACCCCGGACACAATCTGTGCCAGCTTCTCCCCTCTTGTAGGTGCTACAGAGCACTGTATGCCAAAACCAACAGACTTAGTAACAGTTTCTTCCCACAAGCCATCACTCTGATGAACAGCTGATTTCTGACTCATGGTGTCAGGAACAATTCTTGTGCAGTAATTCTGTCTGTAATCAACCACCTGTTTACTGTCTAACACTTATTTATTCACCATTCTCTATTTCAGTGCTGTTCATACTGTTATATTGTCATATTGTAGATACTGTATACCAATCCACCTACCTCAAGTCATTACTCCTGCACAAACTACTTATAATTATTTATTCCATGATTATTAATCCTTTGCACTATGGTTCATAAGCTAATTCTGATTCTGACTGTTATCCTGCTGCAGTGGTTGTGAAAGTGACAAACAGACATCAGAGGTCAGTGACAGTGAGAGTGTACAGACTTCCGTCTACAGGCTCTGTCCATGGTGCTGGATCTATACATTGTATATTCATCTTTTATTTTGAGAGTCCTCTAAATTCAGTCAGATGAGTGTGATGACCAAAAAACAGTGGATTTAAAATGATGATGAAGTCCTTCATATGAGGTTTTGCTTTTTAAAGTAACTTTCCACATAAAAGTCCCCTTCTGTGTTGTATGTAAAATTATGTACTTATTCATTTATGCATGTTTACACTTAATGATGTGCTGTACTGCTCTAAAGAGCTTTGGGGATTTGCCTGGGCATGAGACGTTTCATATTGATACTTAGCTACTAGACGGGCTGCAAAGATAAACTTTTATGATTTTACAGTTCTGCAAAATTTATTTTTAATACCCCCGGCCTTACATTCCTCAAAGTAAGAGGTGTGTCTCAGTATAACTGTATTAAAGCCCAAATATGTCTACCAGGTGGAGATGTCAGCTTAGTGTTACAAACCCCAGGCCTCTGTGAAAGGTCACCACCTGACATTCATCGAACCTGACATTCATATTTTCACAGGGCCCAGCAGGACTGCAGCTAACACCTGGCTGGATCCCGTAGCTGGCCACCGTCCCACTCATGCCTTGGAAAAGACTCAGGAAAGCAACCTTAAAGTGAGGGGAAGTAGAGGAGAAACTAGACGAAGTAGGCACAGGCCAGAGGCGGCGACGACCTTCAGTTTAAAAGTAGGAAAAATCTGAAAGTAAGATATTTTCTCGTTTTTCATGGTGGAACCTGTGGCTGTAAACTGATGAAATGCTCACTGCACTCAATACATTTGAAATCAAATGAAATCAAAGGGGTGAATCGCATGTCAAACTCTGCTTTGTACATTTACATTAATGTCTAATGTGGTAAAAAATACATTTCAAACTTTGCATAAAAAATATTTATGTAGATGTATTTAAAATGTTATGAGCAGAGACACACTGTACAATAACTTCAATCAGTAAAGTATTTATTTATTTATTATTTCGTTAATTCATATTTAACTAGCCATAGCTAGAAACGTATGAATGCTAAGGTCATGAGTATTAATTCCCATCCACAAAACCAACCACCAAAGACATAGTATTTAAAACAATCATCTATAATATCTTAAGCCATTTTTAACATTGACCAGGTTAGCTTTTTTGTTGCATACTTTGATTCCCATTTGTATCTTTAACATACTGATTGTGCAGATGAACTACACCGATTAGGAGGTGTGTGCTAAAAATATTCCACAGTAGACAAGTTCAGCCTGACACTACTTAGCTTGCTTTTTTAGATAATTGCCCAGAAAAATGTAAGCAAGTCTTATTTCCATTATTTCAGCTCTCCAAAAACTTTGATCAAATTGGTACTTTTTCTGGACACACAAATACCACAGCAGAGGAAAACATACATTCACCCATCACTGTTTGTTTTCACACCATGCTCTTGGCAGCACTTAGCCAATCTCTTTAGCACAGGCATGTTTAAAGGATTACGGATTATGTTCAAAGGTGGCCGCGTCCCCTGTGGGGCCCCTTAAGTAGGATATATGTTTTAGCAGCATGTGTGTAATTCACTTCAAGGATATGAGACTCTGAGGTTTATACACAGTATGTTTGAATAGACATAAACAAGAGGAAGGAAGGACGAGAGGGGAATTGCCAAAGTCTGGTGGTGGCTTTTGTTTCTTTTTTGGATGGACCACAGTGAGTTTCATGAGACTCATGTGTGTTGGCTTTTGAAATAATTTCTTCAGTCAGCTGGAAAAGAGTAAGAGCACATCCTGCTGGTCGTGGACTAACATAACAGCTTGTTCTGTGCTTTAAGGGCAGAGTTAAATGGTGTTTGGGTGAGAGAGAGGGAACATCAGTAACAATTTAAAGTCATGTCTCTGGCTCTAACCCTGATGACATCACTATGACATTATCAAGTTATAATGTTGGCTTTGGCTTGGAAACTTGGCTTTGGCAAATTTTTATCAAAAAGATTTTGTTACACGTCTATGTGTGGGATGGACTGGCAACCTGTCCATGGTGTACCCCGCCTTTCGCCCGATGTCAGCTGGGATTGGCTCCAGCCCCCCCGCGACCCTGTACGCAGGATAAACGGTTGATGATGGATGGATGGACAGATGGATGGATTTTGTTACACACTGAAGGTGTAAAATGTGAAAAATGCGGGCCTTTCCTGTTAAAGTTAGGGGCTAACAAAAGACACTAGCCTGTTGCATTATGGGAAGTGTAGGACATGGTGTTTTTTAATTTGCATTTACATTTATTCATTTAGCGGATACTTTTATCAAAAGCAACTTACAATTGTTATATATGTCAGAGGTCACATGCTTCTGAAGTAACTAGGGGTTAAGTGTCCTGCTCAGGGAGACACTGGTGATGTCACATTGGGAATCAGACCTGATCTCATAGAAATGTATCTAGATCTGCAATAAATTCACATAGCTGTAGGTTATCATGGAAAACACACAAGATTTTTAACAAGCAGACAAATAAATGGGCCTGAAAACACAACAGCACTGGTGGCAATAATAGGCTAACTAACCAGTGATGACAACCTCTGGAAACTTCTCTCTACCTACACAGTTTTTTTTGACACATATTCAAAGCATCTGTGATATCATCCGCAGCTTTCCAAAGTGACATTTTGAACCTGATTTAGGTTTTACTACATTATCTTTAGTCAGTTTCTAAAGTCTAAAAGCTTAAAAATTCAACTTTGTGTTTTAATGTATTCAAAGTAGATATGTTAAACCAACATTATGCATCACCTCAGACGATGCAACAATTCTAAAAAATATATATATTTTAATTTAGGGTTCATTTAGAGCAATCTATATGCATACACTGTGTTACAGTTTTACTTATTTTCTCCTCCACTGCAGAAAATGGTGGTCTACCTACTCATCACAGTGTCCCAGTTGTGTTTATTACACATGGTCCAGGGTGGGGCGTATTATGGACATAAACAGCCGCCTCAACAGCACCAGCCCTTGCCGCAGTATAATGATGGGTATCCTCAGCAACAGTTTCTGGGGAACGAGATGCCACACCTGCCATTTGGCAAAGAAGGGCCATTACTGCCTCAGTATGGGAAAGAGCTTCCTCAGTTGCCTTTGCAAATGGGCAAAGAGAGGCCACTGACTGAAGGCAAAGGTGAGGTCAATAGCAGCCTTAACTATATGTTGTTCCTAGTGTTTGATTGAATAAAAGAACTATCCTAATATACCACTCATCAAATAGCACAATCTGTTTTGAACTTTTAATGAGTACAGAAGATCATTTTACAGTTTAACCCGAATGGGGCCTTCCTTTTATAATATTGTCCTCACTCAAAATGGATGTTAAAGACGTTATGAATAAAAAACAATATGCTTTTTGTTATTTAATTTTTTTTAATGGGGATGGAAATTACTTTTATAAGTTAACAATGCAATTAAATCAATTACATTGATACACTCTAGTAGCCCCTGAACCATAATGTTTTACATGCATGCATCACTACTGCTATTACATAGTTAATTCCACAAATATTCCACAAGAAAATGCTCTGCTAGTTGTCTCTTAATATTTACCTGGCAAGCTCCTTATAAACACTTTTACCATGGTGTCTTCAAATCCGATTCTTCGGTATTGTTTTACAGAAGGGGTGACGTAGAACTGCTAAAAAAGATAAATGAAGTACTCTTTGCAAGATAAATTGAGTGCTGACATAAATGACCACCATTTATTAACTTCTAATTTCAAATTAATTTCACCAAATGTTTCCTCTTGTTTACAGGACAAACATTCCCCAGAGGGGCTAAAGGTCCACCACCCCCTGGTCCTGGTGGAGAAGGTTTCAGAGAAGGACCACAAGGAGTTCAGGGCCCTCCAGGACCAACAGGACCGCCAGGACCACAAGGCCCCCCTGGGCTGCCAGGCCAAGGAATCCCAGGGTTACCAGGAAAGCCAGGGCCTCCTGGTCCACAAGGCTACCCAGGAATTGGAAAACCTGGCATGCCAGGAATGCCAGGAAAACCTGGAGGACCCGGATTACTAGGACTGAAAGGTGACCTTGGGCCTAGTGGTGGTGAAGGACCAACTGGGCTTCCTGGTCCTCCAGGGCTCCCAGGTCCCCCTGGACTCCCGGGGATTTCAAAACCAGGAGGTCAGGGGGTTCCCGGACCGACAGGTCTTCTAGGGGAGCCTGGCCAAAAAGGTCTACCTGGGCTTCCTGGTCTTCCAGGCCCCAAGGGAGACAAAGGACTTGGTATACCTGGCTTGCCAGGCTTGAAAGGACCTGGTGGGCCGCCAGGTCCACCTGGAAATGTGGGTATCCCTGGGGTTGGTAAACCTGGCCTGAATGGTCTCCCTGGACAGCCAGGGTTACCAGGAAAGCCTGGTCCTTCTGGAGAACCAGGACAGGCAGGGCCACCTGGTGAAAGAGGCCAACCAGGACCACCAGGCTTGCCAGGAATTGGAAAACCAGGAAAAGATGGTTTCAGAGGGCAACCAGGGCTCTCTGGAGGGAAAGGGGAACCAGGACCTCAAGGTTTACCAGGAGGTCCAGGCATGCCAGGCTATGGTAAACCAGGGTTTCCAGGACCTAAGGGCCACAAGGGACATGCTGGTCTCCCTGGACCTCCAGGCCTTAAAGGTGATAAAGGTCATGGAGGTCTTCCAGGGGTCATTGGTCCCACTGGTCCTAGTGGCATCCCTGGCCCACCAGGTCCAATAGGGCTTCCTGGTAGCACTGGCTTCCCAGGGCAAAAGGGAGAGGATGGTGTTGGGGGACAAAAAGGATATCCAGGAATGAAGGGTGATTTAGGGCCTCCAGGTCTTCCAGGACATCCAGGTTTGTCAGGAGATGGTGGACAACCAGGACCAAGAGGTTTTCAAGGGCCCATTGGCCCCAAAGGAGAACCTGGTATTAGGGGTTCACCTGGTGCCCCTGGTGCTGGAGGATTACCTGGACCAAGAGGAGAGGGGGGACAACCCGGAGAGAAAGGCCACCAAGGACCACAAGGCATTCCAGGGCTTACAGGACCAGGGGGACCAATTGGACCTCCCGGACTACCAGGGCAAAAAGGCGAAACAGGTCTGCCTGGTAAACCTGGCTATCCTGGTGAGGGAAAGCCAGGACTCCCTGGTCTTATTGGTCCTCAAGGTAATCCTGGCCCAAGTGGCCCCGCTGGACTTCCAGGGCAACCAGGACAGCCTGGACCCCCTGGTCCTCCAGGACAACCTGCTGCATCTCCTGAACTTGGACAGATCCTCCCCATGACTGGCCCATATAGTGGCCAAAAACAGGGTTACAAGAAGCCAAAGAATGGAGGCGACATTGGTGGAAGTAGCCTGGAGATGCCTGCATTCACAGCTAAGCTCACAAATCCATTCCCTCCTGTTGGCTCTCCTGTCATCTTTGACAAACTCCTGCACAATGGCAATCAGGACTACAATCCCCAAACTGGTATTTTCACTTGTAGCATACCAGGGGTCTACTACTTTGCTTACCACGTTCACTGCAAAGGAGGTAATGTGTGGGTGGCACTGATGAAGAACAATGAACCAGTAATGTACACATATGATGAATACAAAAAGGGCTTGCTGGATCAGGCATCAGGGAGCGCTGTACTCCCATTACGACAAGGAGACACTGTGCATATACAGCTGCCATCTGACCAGGCTGCAGGACTTTATGCTGGTCAATATGTCCATTCCACATTTTCTGGGTACTTATTGTACCCAATGTAAGAAATGTGTATAAAACAAAGGCATTAGTAATGACATATTGGTGGTGAATTTTACCATATTTATGGTAAAACGACAGCATAGGTCTCAAAGGTACAAAGTAAGTCACATTAAATGGTTTACAATGAGTGGTGGTTATGGTAGAATCTTTTTTTTTTTTTTTTAATATAGTACCAACATACTTCAGTGAATTATTCTATGCATTACATGCATCACATCTGTATTTACATACATCAGCAATGTCTCATACATCAGCAATGCATTTATAAAAAAATGGGCAGTGTATGTACATTGTATAAATATTGTGATAAACTACCTGGTCTTTGGCTATGATATGTAAGAAGCAAAGTTTCTTGTTAGAGTTGGGGAGAGCAGAGGTAAAAAAAAAATAATACTACCAAATATCTCAATTGTCATAATTCTTGTATGTTTACATTGTGCATTTATTCTTATATCCATCATCATAGTTCATGACATGGCTGGAAGAATTCCGGGAACAATGAGACTTTATGTTGCAGAAGTGTATTAACTTTTCACATTTTTATTTGCTTTACAGTTATATACTGTATACTGGGCACATAAGAACATATTTCATTTAAAATGCATTTAGTCATAGCTATCCGTACATATTAATGGGTTATGTATTTGAGGTCATCATACAGTCATTAAGTTATTGTAAGTCTTGTTATTTTATTTTGAAAATGCAGCTTTATAATACAACAAAATCTAAATACAGGTTTTTACATATTCATCTGACAGCAAAATAAAATAAGTATTTGGGTGAGTTTTTAGTCCAATTTACACCACATCATCTATTACAGAACGGCAAAAATACTTAGCAGTTTTTCCCATAATTTGAACCATCTTTTGATTCTTTACTTTTGACCATTTGATGTCACGATTTGTCTTGTTTTGTTTGTAATAAATATGAATTCTTTGAAAGGTTTTTGTCAGTTTGTCAGTATTCTCTGTAATTTATTTGTTTGACTACTGATTACTTTGAATTTTGTTAATGTCTGTGTAAGTGACGGAATTCATTCCAAAATGCAGAACACAACGTAAATGTTCTGTGGAAAAAAATAACGCAAATATTCAAAAATATGTTCACACTCATACCCATTCATACATGTGAGTTCTTTTCATTTTGTACTTAATTTTTTCAAGCTGTGGATGTGCAATTGTGTTTGTTATTTTCTCTTCCTTTTTTTCATGTATTTTGGACAGTGGTGCACAGCATTAAATGGGAAACTGACGAAAGTATGTGAATTTTGATCTTTGTTGCTTTGAGTGGATAGATTTAATAGGTTTAGGTTTAATAAAGAAATAAAAACATTTGTCTTGACTTTATTTTCATTATTGTCACACTTGAGCTTTCAACTATATTTACGTCTTGCATAATGTACATTATCCAATCAGAAATTACTTGTTTTAATGCATCATTAGAAACAAAATAACAAGATTTAACCCTCAAAAGGTGTTTACAAAACTCTTCATACAATCAACAAGTCAAATTATAAGGAAAAAAATACTGTAACAAAGAACTCTTCTATAAACAACCTGCATCGGAATCACAAGTTCACACCTGCTTTCATTTAGTGGTGATAAAATAAACAGAAACTAAAATTACTCCCAGGAAATCTGATTCTACTCTATTTCTTTGTTTCATTTACATTAGGCCACAGATGGGTTGGACACCGTAGACAAAAGCTGAAGCTACCAAGAGAATGGAAAGAACGGATGAACGAGTGGCAGTGCAAAAGGAACATGAGCAGAAAAGAAATGGAGGCAATCAAAATATCTGTGTGGACAAGAGGCAGTTTTGGCATTCATTGCCATGGCAGTAAATTGCGCCGTTGAAGTAATTAGTAAAGGAATAAGATGCTGCAAGTAGATTCTTGGACGTTGTGGACATATCAGCAGAAGAGATAATATTACACTGAGGGAAGGATTTGCACCCACTCAGGCAAGTGAGTCTGAGTTATAAAATGTACAATGTCAGTTGAAATAATTTGGCTGGGGTGGACAAAGTATTTCGCACTGATTAATCCAGTAGGTGGCAGTAATGCAATATCTAAGAATGCCAACCACCATAAAACTCTAAAGAAGTCAAAGAAGAGCGACTGACCAATCAGAATTTGAGCTGTCAGACTTCCCGACTGTCCCTCTCTCCTCCCTTGTATGAATCTTGCCAGCTAGCAGGTCTCTCTGCGTGTTAACCAGCATATTTATGGTTTCGTGCTTTTTATGAACAAGCGCAAATAAAAGGTAAGTGAAATGATGAATCTCTTATATGTTTTTACTAATGTTACGTGGCAACTGAGCTGCCAGTTTATCTGAAGCTAAAGTAATGACTTGAGTTACAGTAGCTAACAGTTAGGTAGCATTAGATTGTTAGCTCATCTTTCAGCTGCTTTATGATGTGCACAAACCATTTAAGTTAACCTGCCAACATGAATGGTGGCACCTGGAGTGAATTGTAGCGGATATATTTGGACTTGGCAGGTCTGATTAAAATCCATCAGGCATCTGCTATCCGGTACCCATGCTAACTTAGCAACGCTAACAAACGAGAAGTGAATGGGAAAGGTATTTCAGTAACAGCTGGAAGTTAACTGTAATTAAGTACAGAGTTGAGGTACTTTTCTTTTTAATGCCACTTTCTGCTTCTACTCCACTAAGTTATATTTCTGAGGGAAATATTGTACCTTTTACTTAACTACAATTATTTGACACCCTTAGTTACTTTACAAATCAAGCTGATAAGAAGAGTTTATAAAATATGGTAACAGTATATATTAATTGTATAAGTATAGTTTCAGCTGAAGTTATTAATCAAATATTTGACTGACAGAAAATAAGCTGGCAACTATTTTGATAACTGTGAATGTAATTTGCATGAAAAGAAAAAAATCATGGTTCCAGCTTTACACATGTTGTGAAAAGATTTTCTGATTTCCTCCTTTATTATTTTTTAATAATTTTGTACTTTTGGTTGTACAAAATATATGAAAGTGTTACTTCACTGGTTAACTGCCTTTGTCAATATATTCAGTCAGAATTTTTGCAACCCAATCAATCAGTCGATTAATGGAGAAAATAATCAGCACATCAATCCATAATGAATAGTTGCAGTCTGATACAATAAGTTTACAATTAGCTCCACCTCAACCAACTACAACTGTGAAATTCTGCTTTTGCATTATTACATGAGTAATAATATTCTAATTAGAACTGGGCGATATGGCCAAAAATGTTATCACCATAAAAAACATTTCATATCATTAAATATCAATAATTATCACCAAAAATATCAAATTGGTATTCCTTTTGAGTTTGAAGGCTGATTTTTGCTCCTGAGTGAAAGTTGAAGAAAACAGATGGTTAATTGTGGTTTAAACTATTCTTTATGGTCAGAACATGAAAAACACTTGATGCTAAACCGTGGATCACTTCACAAATCTTGTGAAGTCTTATTTTCAACAAATATGCACAAGTAAAATTAAGTAAAATCTTTTCAGTCCTTTTTCCTCAACAAATTAAATAGCTTAATTGAAAAATTAAGTGCTAATTTGTTAATAATCCAAATTAATAAAAAAATAAAATTTATTGAATATTTATTGAACATTTGTTATGAGGAAAATTATATGACGATAATTAGTGTTTTATTGTCCAGCCCTAATCTAATGACATAAGTATAACAGTCACAGGACAGTTGCTTTTAATACTAAAATACGGAGTATTTTTACTAGAGCCTGACCATATTTTTAAGACTGAAACTGACTTTGATATTCTGATAGATCATAATAATGCAGTTTAAAATGAACTTTACTGTTATAAGCAGTACTTTGAACAAAAGTACAGCTGATTGCTGGGTTTTATGGTGGATTTGTGGTGCCAAAGTGTGTTGCCAACAGGGGCTGAGAGCGCCTTCTGGTGTACAAACTATGCAATGGCATCACTCATAACATAAGGAAAGGATCCGTCTCTCCGTTTATTTTTTAATAGTCATTTATCAGCTGTTATAAACACTGATATATGTTGGGCTCTAATTCTTACAGCATGGTATTTGTAGTTTTACTTAAGTAAAGGATCTCAATCATTGAAAGCTTATAATGGTGATTTTAAATATTAATTGAGACAGTTGACTCATCTCTTTGTGCTTTTTGAGGCTGCTGTGCAATCTGTAGTATATTCTAAAATCATCTTCATCAGCTTGGTTAAGGGAGCTCTGTAGGATTAAATATCCAGCGTCAAAAGTTTTCTTACTTCTTTTCACAAGAAACTGTTATTAACTTGTTTTGTTTTGCTGTCAGATATACACTATGGCTTCTCGAGCAGGTCCGAGAGCATCGGGCACTGATGGCAGTGACTTTCAGCACCGGGAGCGTGTGGCCTCACACTACCAGATGAGGTGGGTTCTTTTACTGTTAAAGTAATAAAGTATTATCTGTCAGGGTGAAAATCAAGTGGTCAGAAATGTCAGGTTAATGGACCCTAGGGTCCTCTACAGGGACAAACTTCATACACCTCTATCTTTAAAAGTGAATGCAGCTGCTGTCTATTATATTATGTATTTCAGTGAGATCCATTTTATAATCATAAAATCATTTTCTAGTATTTAATAGTTAAGTGTGAATTAGCAGAATTTATAATAAATGCATCAATGAGTTTAATAACCCTTAATCTAGTTGTTTTGTGTCTAACTGTATGCCCATCTGTCATATTTGGCGCAGCGTTGCCTTGAAGTCTGAAATCCGTAAACTCAACATTGTCCATCTGCTGATCTGGGTCCTGATGGCAGCTCAGGTAATAGCCAAAAAAAATAAATAAATAAACTGGCAGAAACATTTAAAACGTTTTTTATTGTGAATGACAGTGGTAACAGCTGAGTTGGCTTTGGCTCTGTGTTGTCTCTTCTTTCTCAGGTGACAGTGAGCCAGCTAAGCCTGGTGTCCCACAAGGTAGTAGCCTCTCCTTACCAGTGGGAGTACCCCTACCTCCTGAGCATAGTCCCGACAGTCTTCAGTTTCCTGGCGTTGCCCCGCAACAACATCAGCTACTTGGTCATCTCCATGATCAGCGCCGGGCTCTTCTGTGTGGCCCCACTCATCTACGGCTGCATGGAGATGTTCCCTGTGGCGCAGCAGCTCTATCGGCACGGCAAAGCCTACCGCTTCATCTTTGGCTTCTCTGCCGTGTCGGTCATGTACCTAGTGATCATTATTGCTGTGCAGGTGCACGGCTGGCAGATCTACTACAGCAAGAAGCTGCTGGACCAGTGGTTCACTAGCACACAGGAGAAGAAGAAGAAATGAGTTCACCTAAAGCATGTTTAGCGCTTAGATCCTCTGTGTGAATCTGCAGGCCCGTGTGGACAAAGAGGTGTTTTTTTTTTTTTTTTTGGAAACCAGTCACTGAGCTGGTGGATTGAGCCAGCCAACACCAAGAGAAGAGACTCCCAAAAGTACTGTTCTTTGTCATCTTTTCTGTTGACGAAGAAGCAATTGTTTGCAGAAAATCAGTCCCTTGACAGCCTGTGACTGCTGCCATCACTCTGTACATTAATCTATGGCATTTTATCATTGAAAATAAACTATAAATGTTGTCTGTACCTTGTTATTTCAGGTACTGACAGTGTAAACAGACAAGGTGTAAGTGGAAGAAGACTGTAATAACACGTAAGTTGATGTTTTAGAATCAAATCCAAAAAATAAATTTGAATATAAGACTGGATATAGCTACTACTGTTGTCCAAGCCAGATCTCAGAACAAGGTTTCATTCGATCATTTTACCTCTCCACGTCAACAGATTAAGACTTACTACACGGGTTTTCCAGGTGACCTTTGCGTTGAAATAAACCTATATCGGTAATATGAGACATTCAGATTAGTTCAAACAAACATTTACATGTGTACGGATAGTATATCTTGTGAAAGAGACTTTATTTTCTGAGTTGAAAGTCACCCCAATGTACAGTTAACTTCTTATCAGTGTAAAAGCAAAATATAATATTTCACAATAAAATGTTTAATGATTTTATATAGTCTACATTATTTTGACTTAAGCCCCCCCCAAAAAAATACCATTTAACTAAACAAACAAAAGTAACATTTAAAAATATACACAGATGTGAATTATTGAATAGATGTCATTATCTCACAATAACCTTGCACAGGTCGTAAGTCAGTAGTGTTTTGATTTTAAAACAACATACAATATGTTAACTGTTAATGTTCTTCCCAATACAACAATATGCAGTACAAACATTCCAACTTTCAAATGAACCAAATAAACATTAAACAATATCCAAAAGGTAACCCATGATTGAACTTG